AAAAATGGTACTCGAACTTCTGTGACGACCCGTCCTTCAAATACATGGTGATATGGCATGGTGAGAACCATGCAAATTCAGCCTTGAATCCAGTACATTGCTGGAATTCCACGCCGTCATATTTAGAGAGCGGATTGATGTCTGTTTTGTATTCCTGATTGTTCCCATAGACGTGTTTAATTGCATTCTTGATTGCCTCAGGAGATAAATCTCGTGAATTCTCAAACTCGACACAGAATCGCTGTCTAACTGCCTCAGGAGTGAAATATAGGACGCGGAGGGGGTTTGTAGGAGGGTTGCTCTCCTGGACAGGTTCTTCCTCATGAGCATCTTCTCTTTTTTCCTCGATTTGTTCGGTGTCATTGAGTGGTGTGTTGAGTGCATCACCGAGTCCTTCCATGGAAATCCCCAAATTATCTATTATCCTGCGAAGTAATTGTATATCTTTCTCTCGATTGGCCTGGAACGCAAAGGGAGGTTTTTCATTCCCCTTATCAACGTCGTGCATCCCCTCAATTTCTGAAGCGGAAGGGGCAATGATCGCCGTGCTATCGAAAGTAGACTTGGTCGTCATGTTGCTATCATTGAGTCGTGGCATGATCAAATCGGATCTGTCAAGACTGTCTTGACTATCATGCATCTTGGTTTCCCATTGGAGGGACTCTTGTTGTTCCTGCAATACTTGCTGACTTTGTTTGTGATGTGACGATTGCTGTTGCTCTTGTTGCTGTTGTTGTTGTTGTTTGCTGCTCTGATCCAACTGCAATTCCTGCCCATTCAACTCATCACAACAACCATCATTAACCTCCTCAATCACATACCCATCAGTCTCCTCCTCTTCACCACAGCTATCATCCACCAAACTCGTCCCATCGAGACTTCCGGTATCACCCTCCCCTTCATCTTCGTCATCGTCGGTAGGGAGGTTAATGATCGACGCAGCGTCGGTATCATCGATAGACTGACCAGCATGCTCATCTAAATCATCGCTGCTGCTGAAAGCAGCGTCATCGAGAACAGACCAGCCATCAACGATGTTCATGGAGCGGTCTTGTTTGCTGGAGGAGGACGAGAGAAGGGGTTCTGGGAGAGGGTCTTCCTCTGACGTCATTGTGATTGAGGCGGCGGAGTGGGTTCTCAGGACTGACGTCCAGGGGTGGATTGAACGTTGTCTTTGAAGAAAGTTGAGTGAGTTTGTCAGGTTTCTAATGAGGAGATGGATTATATCAGGGA